TGCAGCTAACAAGGCTCTGAGAACCCAATTAAAATTTAAAACGCTGCACAAACCTCAGACTAATTCCTGAGTGGCAGGTGTTCATTCAGACCCAAAGACTTTGAAAAGAAGCGAAGATTAGCAGCACTGCCCTCAGAAAGATAAGGAATTTGCTACCTGAACCTAACTGCCTAGATGCCTACTAAAAGGACAGATACATAGTAGATAGACAAAATCAACACTCCCCAAGGGAAAACAGGACCCAAGAGGACATGGGTGGGTGTCAAGCTTGAGAAAATCCTGAAACTGGAATCATCAAACAGAGACTTTCCTCCTATAACTGGATTTGATGAGGTAAAAGTAAAGACAAAGTAATAGCAAGAGAGAAGCTCTCAAAAGAGAAAGAAAAGTCATAGACAACAACGCAGACACAGGACTGACAAATAGCGCAGGGACAGGTTCTGAGAAATGCGTCCCTGGGACATGGCACCTGTGCCAGCCTCAGTGTCACACTCAGACTCAGACGCTATCTGGACAGTCTATGGGCCCACAGACACAGTGTGGTCCATTGTTAACAAGACATCACTAAGCAATGCATGACTGTGCAAGGGGAAAAGGAGTTCAACGAGGCCACAAGAGAGGAGAGCAAAATCCTTACAGTGCTGAATGAAAAGTGCCAACTCAGAGTTCTATACCTGAAAAATGTCCTTCAGTGAAGAAGGCAAAATAAAAATTTTCTCAGATGAAGGAAAACTAAAAAATTACAACAGCAACAATGGTACTCAAGAAGAAATGCAAAAGGAAGTGGCTCAGTCTAAAGGGAAATGACTCAAGAGGAAATCTGTATTTTGAGCAATAAAAAAAGAAAGAAAGAACAGTTATCTAAGAAAATATAAAAGGCCCTCCCTGGTGGCGCAGCGGGTTAAAGCACTGCACTACGAAGCTTAAGCCACTTCCGCATGAGTTCGATTCCCGCCTGCCCCGGAGGTGACCACGTGGCGTGGCAGACCTCTCCTGACCCGCCCGCTGCTCCTCTCAGCAGTGTACTTTGTGATCTGCCTGTTCTGCTCCCCACTCTGTCTCTGAGGAACATTCTCACCACCCCTGCACCTCTGGCTTGTACCCCAGCCCAGTTCTGGATGTATAAATTGATAAATTGTAAAAAAAAAGAAAAAAGACCATTTTTCCTTTTAGGTTGTTTAAAATATAAATGATAAGTTATGGAGAGCCGAACTGGTAACTCCGACTAATGGAGCGAGTCAGCCACACATGTATGTGACACAGAACAACTACAGGACCGGCCAGGAGGGATGGTAGATGCTTTTATATGGTCCTAAAACTTTCTAGTGTGTAACTTTTATAATACTTAGGTAAGTGCAACTTATTCCCATTTTTTAGAGTGTTCTTATCATATATGGATGTTGGATCTTGTCGAATGACTTTTCAACATCTATTGAGATGCTCATGCAGCTTTCTTTTTGTTGATTCCTTTTGTTGATTATAGTTATCATGAAAGTATTCATTTTTAAGGTACTAAGGAAGAAAAATTGTGCCATATTACTATGGAATAAATATAAAACAGTCTAACGACTCAAAAGTCTCTTTTAGAAGATGTTTAGAAATTAATCAAGTGAAGATGAGCCAGGGGAGAACTTCCAGCTTGTTGAGCTGATCTGAGGCTAAAGGAACATGACAGTTTTAAGGAAATTTAAAAGATGATGGTAGGAAAAAGGAGGTGGGCCTAACCCAGGAAGTCTGCAAAGCCATCACGACTTGCGTTCAATTAAAGATTTTAGAAACACTCAATTTCAGTAACTTTAAATTTTGCTTTTAAATAACTTTAAATTTCTAGTATATGTTTTAATAATGTAAAAAGATCTGTTCCATGTTGCAGCCTTAGCTGAAGGAAAGATTTAGAACAGAAAGCATCCCATTAAGTTCAGTTACTTAGAAGTTTCCTGTTAATAACAACTCCAAAAGTGTGCGTGTACACACATTTGTTTTAGTATTTTACAAAAAACGCTTACACGTTTAACTTCACCCCCTCTTTGTTTACAATAGCAACTGCAATCCTGTAGCTGTCATTGTCTCTTCATTTTGCTGTCACTAGAAACAGAATAATTCCATTATAAGTATGTGGAATTCAGTATCCACTTTTAGCTAACCTAAGAGGCTAAAAAAAAAATCACTCCATACACTAAACACAAAATAAGATTTAATAGCCTCTGGAGATATTCAATAAATGCACTTTAATAGTAAATTTACAGTTAATGATTATTCACAGTGAGATAATTTCCACAAAGTTAATCTGAAAGAATTAACTTCTGGAAGAGACTGTTATTCTACTAGTTTATAGCAAAATATTTAAGTCTCACGTTATGCTAAATTACCCAACTATCACAAATTAGCATATATCATATCTTTGATAACATTGCAAACAGGCAATGTCCTAAGACTTTCACTGTTTTACCCAGGTGAGGAATGCCTTGCAATTCTGTCTGTTTTATTCAGAAGACTCGAATCAATGCTACAAGAACTGAAGGACCACTCTAACACCACTGTTGCCTCTCCATGTCTACCCCCAACCATCAATCTTGCAGTCTAAAGCAGCATTTGAAGAATACTCTTATTCCCTAGTGACATCCCTACGACAGGAAAAAAAAGCTAAGTTACCATGGAACCAGCCAATTAATTTTGACACCTGCTTACCAAGATGGATCATTTTTGATTCCTGTTCCTGAGTTGCTCTGCTTTAGTTCAGTAAAAGATTTTCAAAATAATTAATGAAGAAATACCAGTTAAATCTTCCCCAGTATGTTATTACTTCAAATGCCAAAAAAAAAAAAAAAACACCACCATCCACAAAATAAACCTTTCTAAATTTAGCCTGCACTTTACCAGGAAGCTATCTTTGCTTCTACATTGACTCTTTCCTTTAACATTAAACATCATGTTTTCTTTACCTGTCACAAAGCACAGTCTTATTAACTATATTTTCTCTAATTAATAGCTTGTATTCCACAGAGAAATGGAAGAGTACTTACTAATGAATCATAGAATCATAGAAAATAACAACTTCCAAGAAAATGATGAATTTTTAATGATCAGCTCAGGGCTTATTGTTATTTAACCGTATCTGTATTTAAAAAACTATTCTTCTTTGACCACTCATGTGTGGTGTTTGTGAAGACCATCTTTCCATGCCACTTAAACCAGCTTTAACATGATCTGTCACCTGCTTACAACATCTGCCAGGGAGCAACTGGCTGCTGATGGCGCTGAGGCGCTGGGTGCCCTCGGGCAGAATGCACAGGGAGCTTCCCAGCTCTACCACACAGACAGCACACTTATCCACACAGAGGTGCAATTATCTATGAATCCGGCAATTTTCCTGTGGATGTATTAAAAAGATGTATAAAGCAGACGTGGCTTTTTCCATTATTGGCTGCCAGACCATGATCTACAAAATTCTCTTTTGCTAGGTAAAGAGTGCAGTTGCTACCTCACAACAAAAGTGTAAGAACCCTTAGGTCCAACAGGCTGCTAACAAGCACAGATCAATAAGCTATCTCTCCTTGCTTTGGAACTCTTTTTAAAACTTTAAATGAGAACCTCTCCCAAATGTGAAGGGAACCTAATTTGTAAAAGTATGAAGCTAGGAAACATTTCAACCAATTGCTACAAGTGAATTTCATAAAACTTAATTTTGCAACCTCACTTACAAAACCCAAACGTAGAGGAATTTAAATAAGATTTACCTAAAATTAAAAAGTATTATTTTTTAAAAAAAATGCAGTTTACAATGAATTTTAAGGGGCACTGTTTTAACCGAGAATGAGAAGGGGGAAGGATAATAGCTTAGGTTCAAAACTCTGGAGAAATTTCCCTGTAACACATCAGTAAGGTGAACCACAGCTCAGCTTTAAAGTCCAAGAGACATCTCACTGAGATTTATCTGTCATCGCGATAGCAAACATTAGCGATCGACCGGGCCACAAGCCAGCCAGCAAACTGCACATTAAGTGCCTAGAACATGTTCACTGACTTAGTGACTGTCACCTGCAAGTCGTCAGCCGACTCCCACGAAGGCCTCCACTCTCTTATTCGCTGCTCTCTCACACCCACCCAGTTCTTTTCACATCAGGCCAGAACGCAATAAACATCAACCAATGAGGGGAAAGCCTCTTCACCGTCGAAAAGCAAACTCCACAGTCCCTGGGCTTCAGAAAAACCCAAGTAGCTCTCCCTCACGACAGCCATGAGGAGAGAGCCAGTCAGAAAAATGCTCTCTCTTCACATTAGTAAGTCCAGCTCTCCCTTCCTTAGTTCTAACCCAAAGTCAGTTCAAGATTGCCCGAGCAAATTCAACCTCTATCCTGGCTAAAAGTAAACACTCCTGAGCCACACGGGCTGATTTGGAATCGGAACTAGCGTGTCATCTTGGGCAAATGCCTTCACCCCACTTCCTCGTTTTCTCACTGTAGATCCTGTACAATAATTCTAGTAACTCATGGGCTTGTAGTAACAAATGAGATAATCCACGTAAGAAGCTTAGAACAGCGTCTGGCACAGAGAAAGCCCATGACACGCGATTACGCTTGTTACTAACTAAACTCCGGGGTTAGCAGCGGTGACCTCCAGAGAGGGCAGGGAAGGGGGCACGGCTAGTCCCCAACTTTTAACCTTCATCTTTCTGAATTGCTCAAATTGTTCACAATGAGCAAGTATTGCGGGAGTTCCTGGTTCCCGATGAAACACTAGCGTCCTACCCAAATTGTGTTTGGCACCGTAACTGCGTGCAAAAGTGCTGACGGGCAGGCGACCAGAAGTCGCTGCAGACACCCGGGCCAGAGGCCGAGGCTTCGCGTCCGCGCGCGGTCCCGAATCTCGGGGGTTGGGGGGGGGAGGTGCCCCGACCGGAGAGCCGGGGTGCACCCCGCCGGGCAACCTGAGGCCGCGCGGGGGAGGCCGCGCCGGGTGCGGGGTCAGGCTGAGGTTCGGGGTCCGGCGGAGGCACTTACTTGAACCTGCCCTGGCAGTGCTGGCACTGGTCCCCCACCCAGCCCGGGTCGCAGAGGCAGGTGGAGTTGACACAGCGGCCCGAGAAGCAGGAGCCGGTCCTCTCGCAGGGCTTGGACTGGGACACCTGCGCGTAGAGCGCCAGGTAGAGGAAGCCATAGCACAGCAGCCAGCTGTTCCCG